TCTAGAAACAATCAGAATCTCTCCCAAACTCCTTATATTAAAAACATCCAAGTAGATCAAATGTGTAAATATTTCTTAAAAAGAGACTAAGAACATAATATCAAAGTGAAGGAAATACTAATCTTAACATCATGAGAAAAGACTCAGAACATAAGATAAAAACACTGACAGTGTAAGTATGGGAAATCTTTTCATGACAAAAAGTTGTTATAGTTAAAAGATGAATGATGAATGGGAAAAGTTGTATTCAACACATTATCAGAAATGTTTAATTTGTTATAGATGTAAAAGCTTGTGTGTATATGTGTGTGTGTGTGTGTGTGTGTGTGTGTGTGTGTGTGTGTGTGTAAGGACAAATTATACCAAAGAAAAATGGGCAAACATCATAAAACATGTTCTAGGATGTTTCTACACATATGAAAAATGTGAAACTTCACTTAAAATCAGAGAAAGACCATTTTCAGGTGACACTTTGTTCTTAACAATGTTTACCTGTGTTTATCTCAATAATCATATTTCAGAACCTGATTTGTGTGGTTTGTGCCATGACATGTAGTATATAATCATGACATACACTATATAGTCAACCAGCTATTTTATGCTTTTATGTTCAGTCTTTTATTAATAGTTCCACCCAGCTGGATATAGAATAATATTTTGATTTTAAGAGAGAAAACAGACTTGTGCATTATTAAGTGTAGAATATTTTATGCATAATTTTGGCAGCTACTTTTTTCTTTCTTACCCTCACATTCAGAATTCAGAACATAAAATTCTTCAGGTTCAAATGTCTTTTTTCACTCTCCCTTTTACTAAGACTTGGTAAGGGACTCTGCTGAGGAGACCTAGCTGGCAGGGGCGAAGCTTCATGCACAGGAAGAAGACCATGGAACAGAGCTGGAGAAACTCTGTTCTTCCATCTCACACATCCCTGATTTTTCATGACAGCACATGAAGGTTACATCCTACCGCCAACACGGAGCAACCCCTGTCCCTTTCTTGCCTGGCTGTCTCTCTTATCAGCCATGTAGTAGGAGCCTGACCTCAGGCAGGCCCTGTCATGTTAGAAAGATAAAACAAGATACACTTTTATATAAACTGTCTCCAAAATGACAGCTTTTCAAATTCACTATGTGGGAAATTTGGAATGACTCCAATACTAGTCCACCAATAGGCAGATGAAATATCTTGTTTTCTACATTTTTGACTTTTTTAGCATTGTAGTTTGCAGAGAAAGAAAATGTACTTTATCCTATGTCACTGATGAATAGTAATAAAGATACCTTTTCACTAATAGGTGCTCTGAAACCATTTCAGTGAGTAAATTTTAGTAATATGTGCAATTTAGAATAATATACGTATTTTTTCTCCCTTTTATTTCTGTCATTTCCCCATAAATGAATTACGATTTCTTCTTCAAATATCAATACAACTCTCTCCTTGCTTCTTTTGTCCCCATCTCCTACCCGACCCTTCCCCCTCTCCTTCTTTCTTTCTCCCTCCTTTCCTCCCATTGGACAGGATTCAGACAGAAGTGTGAAGATGTATAACATTAAAAAAAAATGTTAACAAAAAAATCCGATATTGTAAGTTTCAACCGATCTTTATGAAAATTAATTAGTAAACTAATACTCAATACTTAGCACAAGTCCAAGCTCTTTTCTCATGTCGGGCATTAGCTCATTTAATGTGTATAAATATAGATTCATCACCACCCAAAATTTATTAGCTATAAGACAGGAAAAATGATTGTATTCTTTCAGTTTTTTGATTAAAATAATTTTCAGATATGACTCTATAAAACTAAGACTTGAAACTACTGGAATAAATAATGAGATGGCATTAAGCTACCTCTGTATAGTGATTCTAGGATACAGTGCTACAAAGGAACAAAACTGGAGGAAAATGTTCCTGATAGCTAAGGTTTTCCCTGAAAAATCAGTATCATTTTTTATTTGAATGAACTAGTAAAGCTTTGTTAATTCAGTCTAAATCCAAGGACAATAGTAATGTAGATAAACTCTATATTACTAGTTTTGGTTCAATTCCTCTTTCTGGTTAATTCATAAAATAGCTAGGATTCACCGTTTTTCATGTATGCGTAAGAAATGAATCAAGACCTGTTTGTGAATTGTTTGTGAATTATTCCACAGTCAATGGCACAGGTCTGACTTGAATCCTATTCTCTTCGATTCATATGAGGCATTCCTATGACTAAATTATTCTTGAGTTGATGGTGCATTATCTCAGTATCAACAATTTGCAAAGAAAGAAATTCACTGGTTTCATTTGTGCTGAATTAGCTCTGGGCTTTTCAACTATGCCTGTTGGAAAAAATTCATTTTTTTAAGACTACAGGCCTCCAACAAAATGGATATCATTTGCTTTGAAAAGAAAAACACAATTTAATGCAATGAATTAGTCTAGAGAATAGGGGTACTATTAACTTCAAATTCTATAGATAATGGATAATGCCCCAAAAAGAACAGAGCAGACAGGTACTCAATAAATGCTTATTAAAGTGAACTGGAAAAAATGAAGAGAGGAGTTGTTGGGTTAACAAAAAAAATTATGAATTTGAAATTTTGCTGCTTTTAAATGATATTTATTTAGGTTTTATGTGTCCGTGTGTGCACCTGAGTGTATGTATGTGCATCATCTGTGTGCAGGAAACTGAGGGGTCAGAAGAGGCATCAGATCCCCTGGAACTGGAGTTATAGGTGGCTGTGTGCCTGGTTCTTTGCAAGAGCAGTAAGTTCTCTCCACTGCTGAACCATCACTCCAGTCCCTTATTGTGTCTTAACCATTTCATTCTAGACACGAACACTTGGATATTATTTTTTTAAAAAATCACACAGAAAAGAAAAAAATGCTGAATTTCTATGAAGTTCATTCACTTACTCATTTAAGTGGAGTATTGCATGCTAAACACTATCCTGGGTCCTGAATGTTTCCAATGTACAATTTGAAGCATATGCTACTGTGTTTTAAATAATAGTGTGTGATCATAAGGAACCCCAAATTGAGTCCACATAATCTAACCATAAAGCTTCTGATATGGGATTTAATGAATGTCTGCCCAGAGACTTTGCTAAGAGCCTTTCATTGACTGTGCCCATATTCCTGAATAATGTCAAATGCCTTCCCAGCACCACTGGGTAACTGCCCATTCAATACTTTAATCTTAAGGAGGTAATAGTGACTTATGAAAGTGGTTATTAGATACTGTGGTTGCTAGAAAAAGAAATAAAATTAAAAATGGAACATCTTCAAATCATGTAAGCTTTCAAACAATTAGAACATTAAAGCTTCTTTCTTTTCTTTTCCTTTTTTTTGCCATCTGACCTGGAACTTGCTGTGTTGACCATCCCAGGCTGGCATTGATCTCACAGAGATCCACCTGCCTCTGCCTCCTGAGTGCTGGGATTAACAGCGGATATCACTATGTCTGGCTTTGTTAGAGCCTCTTTTATGTATGATATTCTGTAATCTTGCAGTTACAGATTTAATTCTAAATTCAAGGAAGAATATAAACTATGAGTTTGGGTTCAACATCCTACTAATGATGCAAAAATCTTTACGTTGTGGGATAAAAAGGAAAATACATATAAATACTTATATGCATTTACGTTACCATTTTTAAAATGCTCGCCAAGCACCAATTTACAGGCAACTCTGTCCTTCAGTGTTTGGGCAAATATACTTGCTGATTTAGTTGAGACTGCAATTCTTCACTTCTCTGTAAATTTCATTAGAAAGGTGATTGAAAAGATGGAGTTGGATGAGGGGGAATGTGTTGGCTGGTTTGCATTTACGTCTTTTTCAAAAACTTAATTTTCAAGTTAAAAGGTTTCAAACTTCGAGGAGCAGTGTAACCGGCATAACTAGACTTAAGAAGCTTCCAAGGCTGACCTTGGATTTGAAGAAGGACAACAAACAGGGGGCGGGGGGAATGATCTAGTTTAAGTGCTAGAAGGAGAGTAATTGAGGACATACAATTTAGAATAAAGAGCTAGAGCCAACCTTGGCCTGGAGGATTCGGACACCTGCCGGGGTAGGTCTGGCATCAATAAGTGAGTTCAGATCCTGCAGCCACGGAAGGCCAAGTTCTTGCCTCAAGGAGGAAGGCTGGATGTAACGACAAAGCGGATCTATTTCTGTTTTAGTGGATTTTGCATCTATTGTACAAGGGGCTTATCTAGGTCACTGGACTCTACTGCAGAAAATCCCGCAAATTAAAACACCTGAACCTTCATAATTACACCTTTGCCGAAAGTTACTCGCCAACTCCCTCAGGACCAGCCCTGCACCGGAAGACAAGGACCTGATCGCGCAGCACCTTCCTGCGGGCTGACAGCACCCACTCCGAGTCGGCGCGCTCCGCACCAAGTGCTCCCAGCGCGGGCTGGGACCACCAGCTTTGGTTCCCCAAGGGTGCGCTGCCCGCACCAGGGGAGGTGGGGGGCGTGGTGGCCGTTCCCTTGGAGCATCCAATCAGCGGCGAGGTCCGGCGGTGGCGCCAGTGACGTACGGCGCTTAGCTCCGCCCCACTGAGGGCGGACACTAGCTCAAAGCTGGGGAGGGCGGTGCGGCTTAGGGAGCATGCGCAGACGGGGG